AGTTCAAGGTTACCTTAGAACATATGGGAGGAGTTGTGTTATTAGCAAATTACCTTTTAAATAAGATATTCCAAAAGAAAATCAAAAAGACCTCTGGTGAGTTATAGAAAGGAAGATAGTCTTCCTATAAATACTTACAAGTGGGGCCATCTTACTAAAGTGGTTGTTCCAACATCAGAAAAGGTAAAGATAGGCCTAAAAACTGTAAATTGCATTTTTATTGACTATACACATAATAGTAGTGCTTATCGATTTCTCGTACATAAATCTAAAATCCCTGACATGCACAAAAACACAATAATGGAATCAAGAAATGCTTCATCTTTTGATCTTGAATTTTCATACAAATCTAAAAAGGAAGCAAACTCTTCTAAACGGACACTGAGACTACGGTTGAAAATAGTCAAGACCAAGAACTAAAAGATGATGTTGAGATTAAACCAAGATGTAGCAAAAGAGAACGGACAAAAAAATATTATGGTCCTAATTTTCTAACCTACATGCTAAAAAGTAAACCTCAAATTTATCAAGCTGTGAACTTTTCAGAAGGACCTCAATGAAAAGATACTATTAAAAGTGAAATAGATTCTATTTTACAAAATCATACATGGGAGTTAATGATTTTTCCTCCAGAAAGTGAACCACTAGGCTACAAATAGATTTTTAAAGGAAAAATGAAAGCAGATGGATCTATTGAAAAGTATAAGACTAGATTAATAGTAAAAAGCTACAAACAACGGAAAAACCTTGACTACTTTGATACAAATTCTCCAATGACGAAAATAACAACTATTAGGATGATAGTTGCTATTTTCGCTCTACAAAATCTTGAAGTATATCAAATAGATATTAAAACTGGCTTTTTGAATTAATATTTAGAGGAAGAAATCTTTATGGAACAACCCGAAAATTTTCATCACCAGGGTAAGAAAATTTTTTGTAACTTGGCGAAATTATTACATAGCTTGAAAGAAGCATCCAAATAGTGTCATAAAAAATTGGATAATGTCATGATAGAGAGTGGATTTAAAATCAACGAGCATGACATATGTGTTAACATCAAAGACGCCGAAAATGGTTATATCATAATAAGTATTTACGTTAACAACATACGTATTGTTGGTTGTAACAATAAGATGGTTACCACTAAAAATATATTAAATTCAAGATTTGACATAAAATATATGGGTTTAGCTGATATTATATTTGAAATTAAAATTTTAAGAACATCACATGGACTAGCTCTAAGTCAGTCACATTATGTGGACAAAATTTTAGAAAAGTTCAACAAGGATGATTCTGGTATGGCTAGAACATTGATAGATACAAGTAAACGTCTTTCTAAAAATAAAGGTGAAAGTGTCTTTCAAGTAAAATACTCGAGAATTATTGAAAGTCTAATGTACTCGATGAGTTGAACAAGACTAGACATAGCCTACATAGTTAGTCAAGTGAGTAGATACACAAGTAATCCAAGAGCTGTTTACTGGAAAGGAATAGTAAGAGTACGGAGGTACATAAAGTATACTCGTAATTTTGAACCGAACTATACCAAATATTCAACGGTTGTTGAAGAATATAGTGATGCAAATTAAATATCTGATATAAAAAACTCCAAATCCATTAGTGGATTTGCGTTCACATTGGATAGTGTAGCTTTATCCTAAAAATTCTCTAAACAAACAATTATAGCTAGATCTAATATGAAATTTGAGTTTATAGCTCTAGATAATTGTAGTGATGAAACTGAGTGGTTACGCAATTTTTTAAGGGGCATTCCAAGATAGTTGAAACCTGTGCCAACAATTTGCATACACACAAAGTAAATTTTAAAATGGTAAGTCTTGACATATACGTCATAGACATAATACCATAAGGCAACTACACTAAATTAGAGTTATTGATAAGTTCATTTTTGCACACTTATTTAATACTTAAATAAGCTTAAATATTGATTAAATGAGCAAATTTCTACTCACAATTATATAATTATTGTTTTTGTAGGAAAAAATCACATAAGAAAATAGAGCAAGGTAAAAGGAAATGAAAAGGGACCAAAAGTGTACAAAATTGTGAAGTTGGGAACCAAAATGCATAAGTGTCGATAGTTCAAAGACTTGGGGTTGCAATTTTTGAAGGGCATAATTGAAAGAAAAGTCAAAATCCAAGGACCAAATTGGATAAAACCAAAGTTGGAGGACCTGACGTGCAATTCTTTGGGGACCAAACTGAACAAAAGGAAAAAAGGCTAAGCCACAAGCTAAGACCCCAATTTTAGACAACTGAGAGCAACCAAAAAGCTAAGGCGCATGCCTCATTTTGTACTAGGCGAACGCCTTAAGTGGAAAATCACGACTTGTATGTACATTTCAATTTGTTCATAGACCTCTTCTTACAATTTGGCTGGGACGATTTTCACCCTTTTTAAGCACCCTCCCTATTCTTCTTGTTTTATTATTCTTCATCTTGAAAGAAAACCCTAGCCTCTTCTCTTTCTTTTTACCTTCCTTTTAATTTTCTTTCTTTTCTTTTCCTTGGCATATTTGGGAGCAAATATAGAGCGCAAAGGAGAATCATTTAAGGAGGTGGAGAAATATTTGGAAAAACCAAAGCCAAGCTTCAAATTGGGTTGTATCTATAACTTTGTATTTTCTTAATTATTTTGCCATACTTGCAATGTATTGTACAAAATATTCTCCTTTTTATCGTTTGTATAAAATGGACTAAGTTATTTGTATTGGGATTTATGGTTGTAGTTTAATCTAATCTTGATTAATTTTAATATTAGCCCTTTCATATTGATTTGCTTATTTTCGTGTGTTTCTTCTATCGTATTCTATGCATTTTCATTTATGTGGTCAATGAATGATTGTGTTTAGTGATATGTACATTGTTCGAGAGAAGATTGTGCACTTTAGACCAAATAGTAGAACCCCTAAATTTGTGTAGGGGATAGAGATATACCTCTAGCCCTAGGTGACCCAATGAGCTATTTTCACAAATATTTAATGCAATTGTTTTGTTTTAATCGACATAGAGATATAATAGGTTAAACTAATCAATTAGGGTTAATTTCACTCGAGAGAGATAATTAACTAAAATTGAAAAATCGGGTCTAACATCGTAAATGAGTAACTTATTAATTGGCTTGTGGAGAAATTAATTAGGCGATGGTTGAATGAAACCATGAATTCCAACCACCTTTGCTTTCGAAAATTCCCAAGAATTTCTTATTTTCTTATTTTTGTAGATTTTCAGTTATTTTCCAAAATCATAATCTTTATTGTGTGTTTCTTTTTATTGTTAGAATTAAATTAAATAAAATTATGTAATCGAAAGTATACATTCCTCGAGGGATCCACAACCCGGATTCAAAAGGTCCGCTTTATTACTTGAAGGCGACCTATGCACTTGCGACATGCACTTTTAGGGAACAAGTTTTTGGTGCCAATTGTCGAGAAGTGTTTTAATTCAATAACAATATTTTGTTGATTCTAATTTTCACAATTTTATTTTTGTTCTTTTGTATAGTTTTTATATCTTTATTGTGAGGTTGACTTCTTAATTTTGTTTCTCTAGGTCTTCGGTAGTGCATGCTTCGTTTAAAAATTTTTGATCTTTTCGAACTTAATCCGAATATTGAAAGGACTTTTTGAAGAAGACGACTGGAACAAAGAGAATTAAGAAGGCAACAACCGATTGAAATGGCACACTAAGGGGTAATGTGAAACCCAATGCTCAACCGGAAAATATTCCTCAAGGTGGTATCCCACCAAGTTTTGGTAACCAAGTGGGTAGGGCTCAAGAGCCCATTGTCAATGAGGAAGATATGCTATTTGGGGACTTCATGAACCCACTCGTGATAGAGAATGAATCAAGTATTGTCTACCCTTCATATGGACATCCAAACTTTCAACTTTGCCCGGATGTCATCAGTTTTTTCTCCAACACCATTCCATTCCATGGGAGAATCGATGAGAATCCTTATTCACATATACAATTTATAGAGAATGTTGAAAATTTTAAATATGAAGGCGTGAATGTAGAGGCGATCCAGATGAGGTTATTTGTTCACACTTTGAAGGATAAGGCAAGGAATAGCTTGAGATTTTACCACCCAGAAGTATAAATAGTTGGTTGGAACTTATTCAAAAATTCACAACCAAATTCTTTCCACCCACGCGAGTAGCTAAACTCAAGAATGACATAACCACATTCCAACGATCCAAATTTGGGAGCTTTCATGAGGCTTGGGAAATGTTTAAAAACATGCTTCGAAAATGTCCAAATCATGGAATCACAATGGGGTAACAAGTGAATTATTTTTATGCCGGGTTAACCCCTTCTTGTCATTCAAATGTGGATTCATCATCTAATGGTTCGATCAAGAAAAAGATTATTCGGGAAGCATATGATCTATTTGAGGTCATTAGTGAGCAAAGTGCTATGTAGTCAGATAGAGGTTCACAAAGATAGGTTGGTGGAGTTTGAGATGGTGAAGCATTTTCAATGATTCTAGCAAAGATTGACTCACTAGCAAGGAAGGTAGAAGGACTTTATACATCTACTTCAAGCTCTCATTTGGCTCATGTGGTACAATCTCCACCTATTTACGATTTTTGTGGGACAAATCACCCAAAACCAAGTTGCCCGTTGATAGGTAGTGGTTCGGCATCCACCGAGCAAGTGGCATATGCTCAAAACTTGCAACGCCAATGGTACAATCCTTACTTGCAAACTTATAACCCTTGTTGGAAAAATCATTCATACTTCTCCTATGGAAAAAATCAAAAAGGCCATTGCAAAGTTGGCAAACCATCAATTGCAATATCAAGAACGTAATGATGCCTCTTTGAAAAACTTGGAACGTCAAGTGGGTCAAATTGCAAAACTTCTCTCCGAAAGGCAACAAGGCGTTGCCTAGCAACCAGGAAATCATTGTTTGGACTATTGCAGATATTTAGGAAATTAGTCGTTCAATATGCATGCATAAACTCATTATGGATGATGATTTTAAACCATCAGTGGAGCATCAAAGGCGGTTGAATCTCGATATGAAAGAAGTGGTAAAAGCCGAGGTGGTAAAGTGGCTTGATGCAGGCATTATTTACCCAATTTCAGATAATGCTTGGGTGAGCCCCGTTCAAGTGGTACCAAAGAAAGAAAGTGTCATGATTGTGGAAAATGAGGATAATGAACTTATACGTACTAGACCCGTAACCATTCGGAGGGTATGCATTGACTACTGCAAGCTTAACAAAGGTACAAGGAATGATCACTTTCTCTTTCCTTTCATTGATCAAATGCTTGAGCGGTTAGCGAGGTATTCTCATTATTGCTTTTTGGATGGGTATTTGGGCTATAATCAAATTGCAATAGCTCCGAATGATCAAGAGAAAACTAGTTTCACATGTCCATATGCTATATTTGCATATAGAATGATGCCCTAGTCCTTGCAATGCACCCACCACTTTCCAAAAATGTATGATGGCTATATTTTCCGACATCGTGGAGAAATGTATTGAGGTATTTATGGATGATTTCTCAGTGTTTGGGGCCTCTTTTGATGGATGTGTTAACCAATTTAGAAATGGTGTTGTAAAGATGTGAGTATACCAATTTGGTGCTTAATTGGGAGAAATGTCATTTCATGGTCCAAGAAGGCATAGTTTTCGACCATCAAATTTCACATAAAGGGATAGAGGATGACAAGGCAAAAATCCAAGTAATTGAGAAATTACCTCCACCAACTTCAGTGAAAGGGATAAGGAATTTTTTTAGGACATGCCGAATTTTATAGAAGGTTTATCAAGAAATTCTCAAAGATCACAAAGCAGATTTTCTCCTTACTTGAGAAGAACACTCCATTTGATTTCTCTAAAGAGTATCTCCATGCTTTCAACACTTTTAAAGAGAAACTTGTCATGGCTCCTATCATTGTAGCTCTGGATAGGAATCTTCTATTTGAACTTATGTGCGATGCAAGTGATTATGTCGTTGGAACATTCTTGGGACAAAGGAGAAATGAAATCTTTCATTTTATCTACTATGCTCGCCGAACTTTGACCGATGCCCAATTGAACTATGCCACTACTGAAAAAAGATGCTCATGATGGTATTTGCATTTGACAAATTTCAATCCTACCTCATTAGGTTACAAGTGATTGTTTACACAGACCACTCAACCCTCAAGTATTTGTTAGCAAAGAAAGATACCAAGCCTCAGTTGATCAGATGGGTACTTCTTCTACTAGAGTATGACTTGGAAATTCATGATAAAAAGGGATCGAAAATGTTGTTGCCGATCATTTATCTCGACTTGAACAAACCGAAGAGGTTGTGGATGGGGAGATAAATGAGGTATTCCTTAATGAACAACTCTTACAAATTATGCATCTTTTACAAGCAACCCATACACCATGGTATGCGGGCCATGTGAAATTTCTTGCTAGCGACATCATTCCATAGGATCTTTCTTATCAACAAAGGAAGAGGTTCTCCACCGAAATCAAGCATTATTTTTTGGGCGATCCTTTGTTTTTCAAACGGGTCCTGGATCAAATTATTCAGAGATGTGTACGGGAAGAGGAAATGGAGCAAATCCTTTAGCAATATCATTCCTCTCCCTATGGTGGTCACTTTAGTGCTGTAAAAACTGTATCAAAGGTACTTCAATCTGGTTTCTATTGGCCTATACTATCCAAAGATGCTCACACTCTTGTTTCCAAGTATGACAAATGCCAGTGCAGTGGTAATAACTCCAACAAAATGAAATGCCTTTGAATTCTATATTGGAGGTGGAGATTTTTTTATGTTTGGGGTATTGATTTTATGGGATCTTTTCCTTCTTTATTTTCAAGTCAATATATATTGGTGGTGGCTGATTATGTGTCAAAGTGAATAGAAGCGGTTGTTTTACCTACTAATGATGCTTGGGTGGTAATAAACTTTTTAAAGAAAAACATTTTTTCTCGCTATATCACCCCCCGAGCTATCATTAGTGATAGAGGAAAACATTTTTGCAGTCGCCTTTTCAACTCACTATTGACCAACAATGGAGTAAAGCATCGTGTGGTCACTCCCTATAATCCCCATGTTGAGATCTCAAATCGGGAGTTAAAGAGGATTCTTGAATTGACGGTAAGTTCCTCTAGAAAAGATCGATCCAAGTAATTGGATGATGCATTATGGGCTTATCGCACTACTTTCAAAACACCCATTGGAATGTCTCCATATTGCCTCTTGTTTGGAAAATCTTTCCACCTCCCAGTAGAACTTGAGCACGGGTTTATTGGGCGATAAATGCTTTGAATTTTGATGTCAAATCGGCTGATAAGAGAAGATTGCTTCAATTGAATGAACTTGATAAACACCGCCTTGAATCATATAAGAGTGCCCGAATTTATAAGGAGAAGACAAAGAAATGGCACGACCAAAACATTGTGAAGTGGGAGTTCTTTGTTGGACAACGAGTTCTTCTTTACAATTCTTGACTCCGATTGTTTCCCAGAAAGCTCCACTCGAGATGGTCAGGTCCTTTCACCATCGCTAAAATTTTTCCACATGGAGCAGTTGAACTTCATCATGGGGAAAAGGGGAACTTCAAGATTAACGGGCAACGATTGAAACCATACTTTTGGGGTGATTTTTCTAAGGAGAAGTCCTCTATTCCTCTTGCCAATCTAGAGTGAACAAGGCCTATAGTCGAGTTAGGGACAATAACCAAGCGCTTGTTAGGAGGCAACCCAAGTTTCTTATCCTTACACTTTTGTTTATGTTAATTGTGATTAATACTTTTGTTATAACATTTTGAATTAATACAATTCTTTTGTATGTCAAAATTTTTGAAGTCCCAATCACCCATAGATCTCAACAAGTTTAGGGATGCACGGTCTACTAAGTCATGAACCAGAAAGTCATCCACAACATCCTTCAGCAAAAACCTAATCGGGGAAGTTTCGTCAACCCTCTTTCTTTATTTTGTATCATTTTTGTACACGTTGAGGACAATGTGTAAGTTAAGTTTGGGGGTGTTAATGGGATATTGTGCCTATATATCATGCTTATATTGGTGTTGATACTGGCGTGTTGGATAGCCTTGTCGATTTTTGATAATTTGATGTGATGTTTAAAATTGTTATTAGTTCATAAGTTATGACCAATCATGCTATTTGTCTCGATCTTGAAAATTTGCTTGTTCATGTGAGATTGTATACCACTTTGAGCACAATAGTCACAATTGGTTATTGTCTAAATGTACAATAGTCACAATTGGTTATTGTCTAAATGTGGAAATGGTTGATTGATGGAAAATTTTTGAATTGGAAGAACTAGGTTGTGAGTTACACATAAACTTCTATCATACTCTCAATCACTCTACCATTGTATGATTTAAGTTTGGGGGTGATCGAGCCGATGAAAGATATTATCTAGAAGTGTGTTGATTCTATGAATGTTGAAAATATTTGTGTAGAGTGTCTTTTTCCAAATATAAGCTAGGTAATAACTATATACTAGAGATCTAAGCCCCATTTGTGTTGTGCTTAAAAAAAAATAAAGTAAAATTGTTGACTCTTGTGCCTCACTTCGTAGCTTTTTTTACTCGAGTTATTAAGTCCGTTGGGATATCTCAAAATCCGATACCCTTTGATTTAAACAACTGGAGAGCTATCAACATAAAACTCGCTACAAGGGTCAAAAAGAAAGTTTAAAGTAGTGAGGTAAAACATGGGGAAGAGAGAGAGAGAGAGAGAGAGAGAGAGAGAGAGAGAGAAATTGCTGTTGTGCAATTGTATTTGATATTTGGGTTTAGATAACTAGTTGGTTTGAATTACTTAGTATAAAATTGAATGTGGAAGCACTCATTAATGGAGAATGGTCACATGACTAGATGTTGAGATTGTCGATTAGACCCAACCAAACAAAAAAAAAAAAAAAAAAAAAAAATGAGTGATTGAGAGCAACTTTAGATTTACACCTAGGGAAGTAAAAGAAATATCTATTTTAGTGTGAATCTCACGAGTGGAGAAAGGAAATATTTGACCACAAAAGGTTGGGTTGGAGCCAATTTGAAAATTTTTTTGTCTTGACAACTTTTTCTTTAACATGTGTTACCTGATTTTATAGTAGATAATCTTGCTCGGGAGGAGCAAGAGCTTAAGTTTAGGGGTATTTGATAAGTGTGTTTTGCACACTTATTTAATACTTAAATATTGATTAAATGAGCGAATTTTTACTCACAATTATATAATTATTTTTTTTTAGGTAAAAATCACGTAAGAAAAGAGAACAAGGTAAAAGAAAGTGAAAAAGGGACCAAAGGTGTACAAAATTGTAAAGTTGGGGACCGACATGTAAAAGTGGCAAAAGTTCAAGGACCTGGGGTTGCAATTTTTGGAGGGTGTAATTGAAAGAAAAGTCAAAATCCAAGGAACAAATTGGATAAAATCAAAGTTGGAGGACCTGACGTACAATTCTTTGATGACAAAACTGATGAGAAGGAAAGCTCCCAATTTTGGACAAACTTAGAGCAACCAAAAGGCTAAGACGCGCGCTTTAGGTTGAAAATTAGGACCTGTGCGCACATTTTAATTTTTTTATGGGCCTCTTTTTACAATTTGGTTGGGACGGTTTTCAAACATTTTAAATACCATTTTCCCTACTCTTCTTGCTCTATTATTCTTCATCTTGGAAGAAAGCCCTAGCCCCCTTCTCTTTCTTTATACTTTCATTTTCATTTTCTTTTCTTCTTCTTTGTTTTGTCTTCTTTTCCTTGTTATTTTTGGGAGCAAATCATAGAGCGCAAAGGGGAATCATTCGAGGAGGTGAAGAAATATTTGGAAAAATCAAAGTCAAGCTTCAAATTGGATTGTATTTATAACTTTCTATTTTCTTAATTATTTTGCCACACTTTCAATGTATTATATAAAATATTCTCTTTTTTATCATTTGTATAAAATGAGCTAAGTTATTTGTGTTGGGATTTATGGTTGTAGTTTAATCTAGCCTTGAATAATTTTAATATTTGCCATTTTATATTGAATTGCTTATTTTCTTGTGTTTCTTCTATCGTATTCCATACATTTTCATTTATGTGGCCAATAAATGATTATGTTAAGTGAATTGTACATCGTTCGAGAGAAGATTGTGCATTTTAAACCAAAATAGTAGAAATTCTAGATTTGCGTAGAGGATAGAGATATATCTCTAACCCCAGGTAACCCAATGAGCTATTTTCACAAATATTCAATGCAATTGTTTTGTTTTAATCGACATAGAGATATAGTAGGTTAAAACAATCAATTAGGGTTAATTTCGCTCGAGAGAAGTAATTAACTAAAATTGAAAAATTGGGTCTAACATCGTAAATAAGTAACTTGTTAATTGGGTTTTGGAGAAATTAATTAAGGGCAACGGTTAAATGAATGTTCACATCCCAACCACCTTTGCT